ATATTTTTGTATTTTTGGTATTTAGTGAATTTTTAAAAGATTTTTTTTACAATTTTTTTACTTTTTAAGTATATTGATGTTAGGTGTGTCTAAAAAGTAAAAAATTTGCTTAAAATATTAAAAAAATTCAGTAAAAACAAAAAAACACGAAAAATAAGAAAGTAAAATTTTCTGAAAAGTGTTTTTGAAAAGTGGAAACAAGCAAGTTTGTGAAACGTAACGTGACACGTTACGTTACGTTTATGTAGGTGTCACGTTACGTTACGTTTATGTAAGTGTCACGTCACGTTATGTTTATGTAGGATCTTGTGCAATACATTCCTATCTAAATAGGACTTAAGACTCTATAAGAAATTAAACAGGACTTAGCCTACCATAAGTGTATAAATAAGTCTCCCTAAATTTTACATAAAAACTATTTAAAAATTCACTAAATATTAAAAAAAATCATATTTTTATAGTATTTATTAAAAAAATTAAATATTTCTTTCACAAATAAACTATTTGAAAAACAAATAATATTAAAAATATTTTAATCCATTTTATTTAATATTTTAATCCATTAATCCTATCCTAGATTACTAATCTCATATGTTTTCCTTCCATGCTAGTCCAACCATGAAGAGAGATATTTGATTGACAGGATTAGAGTATGTGATTAAGATTATTAATTCGTAAGCCTAATAATCCTGTGTTTGTTTTGAAATTTTATTTCATAATTATCAATCCAATGGATAATTAATCCAACAAATTTGTAAGATTATTAGTAATGAGGTAGGGGTGGAATTATATATCCTAAGTTGGGAAATAAAATAAAAAGACTTTTTTACCCTTTACTAAAAATTAAAGCACTTATTATTTTTATATAATTTTATATTTTAGAAGGCTAAAAATAATTTTTTAAAATTTAAAAATATTTTTTGATATAATTTTATATTTTAGAAGGCTAAAAATAATTTTTTAAAATTTAAAAATATTTTTTGATATTTATTTTATCAAATTAGTTTATATTTTAAAAAAATTAAAAAATAAGCCAAACATGGCCTTCGTATTTTGTTTTTATTTATTTATTTATAATTTTTTTCAAAATCACGTTTATGAATAAATTTTGATAAAGTAAAAATTGTGAAAAAATATTGATGGAAGGTAAGATTGGAAAAGAAGATAAATATAGTTGTAATCCTACATTCATATATTTTCTTATCCAATACAAATCAAACAATAGATAAGGAGATAATTTATCTTACTAATCCAATTGGATAGTGAATACCACACTAATTTAATGGGATTATTAATACTTTCATTATTAATTTTGTGAATCAAACATAGCCTTAAAGTGTTAATTTCATCACAATCTTCTATAACCAAATACTCTTTATATTGCCATTCATCACTATTAGTCCAATCACAACCAAACAAACATGACTAAAAAAAAAGTCTTCGACACCTTAAAAAAAATATATTTAAAACCTAATATAGTGGTATTTTGGCAACAGAGTTTTACGTTGTGTCTGGCTGAGAATGCCAACGCCAAACGCCAGCGTTTTTGGGCAAAAATTGGTTTGGGATTGTGACTATAATCAACTATGTGAAATTACGATACTACCCTCATTGTTGTTTAGGGTTACATATTGCCCAAAAAGGCTTACACAGATTAGAAAGAGGATGCCGCTTGGTTACTGCTCCGCTGCGACGTTCCTATGATTGCTTCGCCTCGCCAAACCAACATCTCACCCATCGACCCTCCGTAACGCCTCCGACGGCACTCTTCCACGTCGACTTTGTCGTCGGTGTTTGCACAGAATCACATAGGCCTCCACCTTTAGTCGTGAATCTGAAATCCCTTGGAGTTCTTACCTAGATTTCTTATTTTCCTGTGGATTTTCACCCAAATATGGCTTGTTTGTGGAGAGTGAACCCTGATTTGCTTGAATCTTGCATGTTTCCCTTCGATTACTCCATCATGTTTGTATTTCATGTTTGGGGATTTCACTCTTCCACACGGCTGCCTCCCTGTTTCCCTTCGATTACCTTATTGAAAATTTTTGCATTAGTGTAGTAAAGTTTTGTTTACCATTAAATTATTTATTGAGAACATTCAAATGCCAAATTAAAAAAGGAAAAAAAAAATTGAAATTAAAAGTAACTTTGCAATTTTAAAATTAACAAATGTGAAAAATTTAGATCCTTATTCCAGTTTTTACAAATTGAAAATGTTTCAGTAAGGTAATGCGTAAAACAGAGGTGTTAACGTTAGAATTGGTGCAGGATCATGCATGCCAATATATTACATTGGGTGAGGGCATTTTGGTAATTATACAGTTCTACACCATGACATGACAATTTTAAAAAAATATTATCTAAAAAAACAAAAAAACAACTTTTTACCAACTTCCCAAGTCACTTTATAAAAAAAACTAAAAATCTTGATTAAAAATAAAAAAGTTAATTTTTACCGCCTTCGCCATAATGTTAGTTTGTTCCCAATGGACCCAAGTTAGGTGAATGTGACCTCATGTTGCAGCTACTATGAAAAAACTAGATTATACGTACTAAAATTTTTATTAAAATATATGTGCTCAAACATTATTGAAAATACAAGTATCATTCAACTTGTTTGGTTTTAGTTTTTAAAAAATATTTTTCAATTTTTTTTTTTTATTATTTTCAATGAATTTTTTCAATATTTTACGTAATTTTTTAATTTTTAGACACACCTAACATTAATACACTTAAAAAGTATAATATTTGTAAAAAAACTTTAAAAAGCTCACTAAATACCAAAAATATAAGAAAAATACAAAAATTCAGTACATTTTTCACATTTTTGTGTATTTATTAATTTTTTAAAATATTTTTTCACAGACATTTTACTATTTAGCTTTTTGGATTTTTTTGAAGATGCCAAACTTGGCCTAAAATTTTTATTAAAATATATGTGCTCAAACATTATTGAAAATACAAGTATCATTCAACTTGTTTGGTTTTAGTTTTTAAAAAATATTTTTCAATTTTTTTTTATTTTTATTTTCAATGAATTTTTTCAATATTTTATGTAATTTTTTAATTTTTAGACACACCTAATATTAATACACTTAAAAAGTATAATATTTGTAAAAAAAAATTTTAAAAGCTCACTAAATACCAAAAATATAAGAAAAATACAAAAATTCAGTACATTTTTCATATTTTTGTGTATTTATTTATTTTTTAAAATATTTTTTCACAGACATTTTACTATTTAGATACATATAAATAAAGTGCATTTAAAAAAGTAAAAAAAAAATTTGCTTACAATTTAAAAAAAAAATTCACTGAAAACAAAAAAATATAAAAAACAAAAAACTCAATTTTCAGAAAACTAAATTCAGAAAGCTGAAATCAAACACACTAGGCCTCGTTTGGGAACAGGCTTTTTTAGTAATTTTTTGGCTTTTTGGCTAAAATGTGATGTAAAAAAAATTAATATGTTTAGGATTACTTTTTGACTTTTTACGAAAAGATGTGCAAAAAGTAGAAAGAAAATAAAATCTTTGACTTTTTGGTATGGGTTGTTGGCTTTTTGATTTTTTTAACTTTTTGACTTTTTGGCTAAACCGGCCGCTTCCCAAACGAGGCCTTATTGTTTAATCATATTTGATCTATTTTAGGCCTCGTTTGTCAACTATATTTTTAGTCAAAAAAATTAAAAGGTCACTATAAGTTATCACATTACTCTTTCTATTTTTCTACATATCTTTTCGTAAAAAGTTAAAAACTTACTAAAATAATCTATTCCTAAATGAGGCCTTAATTTCAATAAAAGTGTTAGTATCTACCCAATTCTTAAAAAAAGTATATTTATCACTAATTTCTATTTTTCCTTATACTTATTAATCATTTTTTTTCTCTTTGTTTTAAGGTCATGTTTATTTGGCAGACATGATGGTTTGGGATGATTTAAATAAGTGTATTTTTTGACTTTTTATGAAATATGGGTTAGGTATGAGTTGGGTTTGAAGTGATGTGTTAGAGAGGTGATGTGATTTAAATAAGATGACATGACTTAAACAGGATAGTGACTTTTTGATTTTTTTAGATCATGCCAAACAAGGAAATAGCATTGAAATTACTAATATGATGGTATTAAAAAAAAATACATTTATTTGTATACTATTGTGATGATATTAATAGATTGAAATTAAATTTATGAATTTATATAAAAATTCTCAATATAAAAAAAAAATTTACTTTCTTATTTTTGTAAAAAATAGACAAAATGATAAATTTACCTCAAATTCTACGTGGATTGGATTGTGAATCCTAACCCTATGAGATTGGTAGCCTAGATAGAAAACTCGATTAATAATTCATTTGGATTAATAATTCAGTTCATAATTAACCAATAAAACATGTTATAAGTACTTGTCTGATCCTTCAACCTAGTAACCAAACAAAGGGGAGCTAGAAGACTACGTACCCTCTCCTATCTTAAATTATCTCTTTATTACACATTAAATTTTTTTATTTTTAATCTTGCAATGAAAAAAGACAGGTAAAAATAAGACAACAAATCATCATTTCGGATGTTACTCGAGGCAAGTTTGGAAACTAACTAAAATAGTTAAAAATTAAAAAAAAATCATTATAAAAAGTTTACTATTCTCTTTATTTTTTTTATATATTTTTTAGATAAAAAAAAAATCAACTAAAATAGTTAGTTCTCAAAATAATATGCAACCTAAATTATTTGTCTACTTTGATTACTCTAGACATTAAAGAAAAGTTATTTATATTTTGTAATTATTTTTAATAATATAAAAAAAATTATTTAAAAAAAAACTATATTTATTGGTGCCATTAAAAAACTTGAATGTGGAGTAACAGTTGTTTTCTTTAATGTTCCGTTTAATTAAAGGAATAAGACAAATGTTTCCTCGAAGTGATCGCATCCAGTTCAGTTTTCCCATATAACGCGTTATGCAACATTATTATATAGTAAAAAATAAATAAATGTTATATAAATTTAAATTTAAATCAAATAGAGGAAGGAAAAAAAAGTAAGAGATTGCAGAGCTTGGGACTTTGTTTTGGGGGGTAAATCTGGTCCGTTGAAATCGGTGGTAGAATTGATTGAGAGCCGTGTGATGGGCGATGACAAGTCGTCAATGATAATGGCGAGCAGCAGAGATAGCAGAGATCGAGAGCTCCTCATTCCCGTCGCCGACTCCGTTCACGACGGCGATGCCTCCTCCAAACACGCTTCCTCCGCCTCCTCCTCTCATCACTCCGGCCGCGAGGTCTCTCTCTCTCTCTCTCTCTCTCTCTTAAATTTGAATCTTTGATATGGTATAGGGTTTGGAGCTATTGTCACTTTTTGTAGGTTTTTTTTTTTTTAAATGAGGAATTGAGCATGTACAGAATTCAATTTAGCTGATTCGTAGTTGTTAATTAACCAAATAGGCTGTACACACTTGATTTTGTTTAGTCTGATCGGTTTAAAGTTTTGTCTGGTCATTTGGAACAAAAATTGAGGAAAAGGAGCTAATTTTAAGCATTTTTGTTCATTATTCTCATCCATTTTTTTTCCAAGATCCAAGACAAAAGTTTCCTGTAAAATTCTACTTTTTTATGGTTGGTTGTACAAGGAATTGTTTTTGGTGGCTATAAACACCCATTAAGTCTATAATTTAAACCTCGGGCAGTTAATTATTTTTGTTCAGTTAATTTATTAGTGTATAAACATTGTACGTCCTGCTGATTGTGAGGAACTGTTATCCATTGTGTAGTAATCCGGTTGGTTAATTACTTACTAGTTGGTTTAAAATGCTGTCTAGAAATCCCATTGGTTAATTACTTGCAATTAGTTCATTACTTGCACAGATGTGGACACGAACATGGACGAGGTAATAAAATATATATTTTTCATATATTTTTATTTGTTATATACATTGATATTACATTCACAATTAATCAAAATAAACAAAAATTAGCACTAATTCGATATTTTAAAAAAAATTAATACTTATTAGTTATATCTTTTTGATGAATGATCTATTAAGTATTTAAATCTAATCTAACATCCATCAAAATCATTGAAGAAAAGGGGGGAAAAACTAGTCAGTGTGTCCCCTAAAAACAAATTAATTAAATAAAGGGACACGCCTTGTCCCTCTGTCTTACACCGCTACGACACTTGTTTTGAAGTGTCGGTGCTTCATAGATCAAAACTCCTAACCTAATTATGCTTTTACTGAAGATACGACTTAAAATGTTGGCCCTAGCACTTGAATCTTAAATGTCTGTAAATACTTTTTCCATGAAAGTTGATGAAACAACCAAATTCTCTGGCCATATGGTTATGTAGACTGTGAAGTCTTAGGTCTCTCTGGACCAAGTTTCTGTGTCTTATTAGAGCTTTGCAAGGAGTTGGGTATGAGTGGGGTAGGCTAGGCTAGGCTATAGAAGATAAGGACATCATTGATCGTTGGGCATCTTTGATCTTTCTTCCATTCTAATCTATGATAGTTTCAGACAATGTGACATTTATTAGTTTTCTCATTGATTGGCTAACTCATGTTTGTCTGGAGAATTTGGTATTATTTTTTTATTGCGTATAAATTTGTTAAGTAGGCTTGATACAAGGAAAAACTAGTCATTCTAACACGAAACTTTTTGCAACAAATTGCATGCAAATTTACAAAGAACATAGTTTCCCAAATACAATAGACTTTTGCTTATTTTGGGAAGTAGGTTAAAAGACTCTTTTTGGCTTTTTTTGAAAAACATGTAAAAAAGTAGGGAGGTGATGTGACAAAAAAAAGCCAAAAAGTTAATTTTTTAGCTTTTAACCCAATTACCAAAATATGCCACAACCAGCTCTGTTTCAAATCCTACAAAGAGGGTAAACATGGTTTGAAATGAACTCATATAATCTCTCAACATGAGTAGTTAGGCTTTGTTTGTCATTCAACTAAAAAAGCCACATTTTTTCCCGAATTTTTATTTTTAGTATTTTTTTTTCAAATTTGTGTCAATTTTTTTTTTACTTTTCCAATCCATCTAATATAGAAGAATGTAAAATGTAAAAAAAATATTAAAAATGCAAAAAAAGGCTCATTAAAGAGAAAAGAAAAAAAAGAAAAAAAAAAGGCAATCACCTTGCTTGTTTTCACTTTTCAAAAAACACTTTTTAGAAAATTCTACTTTCTTATTTTCCGTGTTTTTTTGTTTTTACTGAATTTTTTTAATATTTTAAGCAATTTTTTTACTTTTTAGACACACCTAACATAAATACACCTAAAAAGTAAAAAAATTGTAAAAAAAATCTTTTAAAAATTCACTAAATACCAAAAATACAAAAAAAAAAAAATACAAGAATTCAGTACATTTTTTTGTATTTTATGTATTTATTAATTTTTTAAAATATTTTTTCACAATTTTTTTATATTTTAGATACATCTAAGTAAGGTGCATCTAAAAAAGTAAAAAAAATGTTTAAAATTTAAAAAATATTCACTAAAAACAAAAAAATACGAAAACTAAAAAAGTCAGTTTTCAAAAAACTTAATCCAGAAAACTCAAACCAAGCACATTGATTGTTTGTTTTTTTTTTGGTTGTCTTTAGTTGACTTTTTTTTTTTTTAATTTTTTACTTTTACTTTTTTGGTTCGTGTAGTCAAATAGATTCTAAAAGTTTAAAGCTTTTTGAAAATCTTTAAAATAAGTTCACTAAAAATGGAAAGAAGTTAACAAAAAAGTCACAAAAAAAGCCAATCCCAAACGACCCCTTAATCATTTCCAGCTGGACACACAAACAAGTGTGTGGAGACATTATTTCTTCCATGATTATGCCACTAGGCACCGCACAACTTTAAGTTTATGTCATTGGATAATTTGTTTAAGCTAAAATTGTTGTACCGTAGACTTTTCATGAAAACCACTGCTACATAAGTTTTTGTTTTAGCATTTGCGTGTGTCTATATTTCTTGTGTTGTCTGACAAATGTTGTATCCTATGTTGGCTCCATGTAGACTTTCTGCAAAGTTGTTAGGAGCTGGGCTTCAAAAAAGTTTATGACCGGATGGTGCGCACTTTTTTTTCCTATTTTCTCCTTGTTTCCTTTCAATCATGAACATATGTTGTTATTTTGTGATCTTATTATTTAGGACATTTTATGATATGCATTATCTTATTTTTTCTTTCTATAAAATATAGCTTTTGACATGTGCCATGTTCTTTAATCTTGATTTATAATAGAATTGATATATATTCAAGGCTGGGTTGGTCTTTCCTTAATCGCAATGCTCCAAACAAAGGTTGAGCATTGCTTTCCTCCCTAAACTTTCCCCATCCCACACTATGGTTAATCCCTCCCCAAACCTGTTCCATGAATGTGACAGTATGGGGCAGGAGGTCTTGCTTGGAAATTCAGGTATGTTGCCATCAATATTCAACATTGACCTCGTGCTTTGTCTGTAATAATGCATGGTCTTAAACAAAAGTAATATCATCCATAATCAAATAAAAAATCAAATGAGATATTAGTAAAGAAGATTCAATTGTTCTTAAGGGTATCCAAATGAATTATACTATTGTGCCTGAATAATATCACTCCAGTGGCATAAATAGTATTGTGCTTCAGTAATGTCAACAGTGATGCTAATGCATTGTGAGTATTAGCTTGCTGTAAAACATATTCCTAATGTCTGGAAATTAATCCACCAAGTGCCCATGCAAACCTTGTATTGCCATCATTGACACCAAATTAAAGCTCGACGCTTAGAAATGTTCCTCTTTTGTTGTTCAATAAACTCCTAGCAGGTGATATATAATAATGAAAGTGTATGTTGAAAATCACACATCTGATTTCTTTAAAGAATTGTTATATATGGTTGTCAATTGAGATCTGCACTGTGTTGTTCACAAGTTTTCGTTGTTTTACACTTAGAGCTGTGTATGCTCCTTGCTGCTATATTTGTTTCTTACTCTTAGCCCTCTTTCAGTGTCATCCTATTTCCGATAGCAGTCACTTTCTATATAACTTGGTGGTTTATTCATCTTGTGGATGGCATCTTCTCTCCAATTTATGCTCAGCTGGGCATCAATATCTTTGGTAAGAATATCCAGTCCTTCTGTGCCTGGGGATCCCTTTTTCATTTTTATCTTTTCTTGGTACAACTTATGATATGTATAAATTATTACCTTTGAAGTGGTGTTACCAGGGCAACATTTCCTATACAAAGTGACTTCATTTAGTTTTGTTGTCTCTTCTAGCTTACTTTGGTCCATTTTCTGAAATTTTAGAGTTATGAATTACTTATAGGTACATTATTGAAGATAAATACCATTAAAACCTTTCTTTTATTGTTGATATTGGAAAGTTAATTCAAACCAAATTCGTTTTACATATTTTTTTATAGCCATTGTTTTGCATCAACATTCATTGTATTAAACCTTGATTTTGAGATCTTGTTGCAAAATCTAATGTTTCTTGTCTAAGAAAGGAATAGAACATAGTTCCAATGTTTATAAAAGGAATTAAGTCATTTTTTCTTTTTGAATTTGTTGTGCATAAAATATCAGGGCTCCGTTTAGTTTAGTTTTTGAAAAGAATTTTGAGTTTTGTATTTTGAAAGATAATTTGTTGAAAAGAGTTTTGAAAATTGAAAATTTGTTTGGTTGTGAGAGAAAATTTGATTGATTGATGTGTAAATTGTGAGAGAATGAGAGAGGAGAGAGGAAAAGTGATCAATTGATTTATTAATAAAAAAAAGAGGAGAGAAGAGAGAGAAAAAAACAATTTAAAAAATTGATAAATCAAACATGTTTTTTTTTAAATTTTTTGATCCAAATGTTATTTTAGAAACTAAACCAAACGGTATCCAAAATTTTAAGGATCTCAACTTAGACGCATCTAGAACATCTGCCTGAATGAAAATTTGTGTTAATGTTGAGGTATTTTCAGAAGTCATTCTTTCTTTTCTTCTTTTGGGGAAGAAAAGGATGTGTGCATTCTGATTTCGTTTTGATCCAAGATACATGAATTATGTGCTTTCAGTACAAATAAATGATGTATTTGAGCAACATTCATAACCAAATTACGGCTTTCATGCAAGTTAATGATTTCTGAGGTAGACCTGAGATATATCTATGATCCTTATTTTCTATGATCCTTATTTTCCTTCTTGTGGCAATTGATCTGTTTTAAGACAATGAAAAGGATTCTGTGGCTCTGTGGTTTGAACTTTATGAGAAAGGGATTCTAACCGTTACATTTTCCTATGATCTGTCTTAACTTTCAAAGTGCATTCTATTAGTTTGTCACACTCCAGACAGACTTGGTGCAGTGGGCCACTTTTTTACCTATAAACTTTTCTGCTGGAATGTCACTTAGGTCACCTAAATCCCTTGAACAGTTGCCCAAGAATTCAAGCTGAATAAGGTCATTACCCAGTTTACTCCATATTAATCCGGAGTGCTGGAAGGGGTGCACTGGGTATATAAGAGGCCTATCACAGACTTGAGCCCATGTTGTCATGCTTTATCAGGCTGTGTTTTGACTGTTGCACCCACCAGCTGCCCTGGAATTCAATCCCTAGCCAAGGATGATGTAACGCCTTTTGTTAGTAAGGTTATGGAAGTGCTAGAGTTTCACATCCCTGAAATAGAATGGTTTGTGTTACTTAAAACTACAGAGTCCAAGCAAAAGGAAAATTTTGGTAATTGGTTTTTCCTCATTACTTGTGTTTGAGTTTGTGGTGTTAAATGTTATCCCAGAAACTGTTGTGTCCGAACACTGGTACTAAAAAACGTGGATTTTCTTTTCCTTGCATGTATATTGGGTTATATTTCGTGTGATTTGGTTGATCATCTTATTGGCATCTCAGTGAACGATTCTAATACATGTCTCATTGACTTTTATTTGCTCGTACCTCTTGGTTAGGTCTTGGATTTGTAACTTCGATTACATTCATCTTCTTGGTCGGCGTGTTCATGTCATCATGGTTGGGGACATCAGTATTGGGTCTTGGAGAGTGGTTCATCAAACGGATGCCATTTGTCCGTCATATTTACAGTGCCTCAAAGCAAATTAGTGCTGCCATATCTCCAGGTAATTTCTGTTAGTACACTGTTTTTTCTTTTGCCACTTTTGGTAGGGATGGATGATTAATGTTCTTATTTCAACACTGTTGCAGATCAGAACACACAGGCCTTCAAGGAGGTGGCTATCATAAGGCATCCACGTATTGGTGAATATGCCTTTGGGTTCATCACTTCATCTGTTGTCCTTCAGGTCTGCTAATAATTTTGCTGTTCTGGTAGTTTAACTCATTTACTCTGCCCTCATTGCTTTTATGGAAGTATCATCATCACACACACATCTGTTTTGTCATGCTTATTAGTGCCTTGTTGCTCAGTTTGCAGTTCTCACTTTCCAACTAAAACTTAGTCGTGATTTAAATCAATTTTAATGTTGTGAAACTATCATTAGCTTGTCCTTTCGTTTGAATGATGATGATGGTATTAAACTTTTGCAAATATTTTGTTTTGATTGCTAATGTAACACATTTGCATCTAGTTTCCTGGAATTTGCTTAGTCTTGATACTTACTGTTGCCATGATGTCAAACCATAATCACCCCAATTTGCAATTTTGTTTATGATCTAACAGCAATGGTTTGGTTAAATATGAAAGGGTGCACCGTTTTGTACATTGTTGCAAACAGACTCCTACATTTTAATGTAACTGTGTTAGTATGGAAGTTGATCTTTTTTGCTTAAATCTTGGGAAGCAGTAAAGCACCAAAGTGGTGCTTGTGTTTCAAACTGAATCTTATTGGCTTGGTTCACTAAATCCATTCAATTCAAGTGTCGGAGACATTTCCCCTTTCATTCAAACAGATGAATGGTTCTTGATTTCTTACCACAAAGTAACTGCTCAAAAGCTATGCTTTATGTGTGATTTTGAATGTCACGTCAGTTCCTGAGCACTGGAGTTGTTGATCCTTGGTGCTTCCATGTTTATTAGATATGATCATATTCAGCTGCAGAAGTGTATGAAAGGCTGTGTGCGAGTCATTTTGTTGAAACCTGAGAGAACCTAACAATCAAAAGCCTACAAATTGATTTATGTTTGTCTTGTCTGGTTGCTAAATTTTCTTGCATTTAAACCCCTCTATATTTTAATTTGCAGAGTTATTCAGGTGATGAAGAGCTATGCTGTGTATATGTTCCCACCAACCATCTTTATATTGGTGATATATTCCTCGTCAACTCCAAGGAGGTTATTAGACCAAACTTATCTGTTCGGGAAGGAATTGGTAAGACTTCTCTACTTGTTGCTCTACTGAAAATTGCACATGACAGGAAGGAAATATGCCCTTCAGCCTTCTGCCATGTATGACTCTTCTCCCGGCTTTGCTGGCTGGCTTGTGCTATAGTGATGCAGACTGAATTTAAAAATTATATATTTTATTTTTATTATTTTAGTGTTTGATTATGAATATTATTTAAGGCTAGAATCTTTAGTTTCCTATGTATTTAGGTTTTTTATTTCATTTATTTTATTGTTCCACGACAATTAGGATTGCTTGCTTTACTAAATTATTTTTATTTCTTAATATTTTATTTTTCTTTTTAGTCCTAGTTGTTTTAGGAGTTACCCTTTTTTTCTAATTAAAATTATAAATAATGAAATGATTGTAAGCCTTATAGCTCTTTAGTTTTTGATAATTAACATAAAATTTCATTGAGAGATATCTCTTTTCTTATAATTCCTTGGATTCAACAAATTTGTACAAGAGTTTTTAGTGTTCTTATTGCTATAGATGCTCTTCACGCTTTCTTGCTACACCATATTGGAATATCCTTATCACTATCCTTTGTTCTTTACTTCCAGAAATTGTTGTGTCGGGAGGAATGTCAATGCCACAGATCTTATCGACATTGGATTCAAGCATTATTCAGGTGGATAGAATCGGGCCTGTCAGAAGCTGAGAACGACAGTCACATTAGATGTAGTTGAGTTGTTTATTTATCGCCTTGTCTTTCAGTTTGTCATCGGAATGACCACGCGATCTGTGTATGCATCGGCACTTGGAATCTGCATCAAGCTTTTTAATTATTTAAAGATTCGAGCATCAAATTCTGATGGCATATGTAACATTGGTCGCCGTGTACATTTTAGTAGAAGATAGCGCGTTTAGATATATATTTGGGTTTTTTTACGAGTGGAAGTTCTACACTTAAATAGGGCTGTATTGCATTGTGGTTTTATAGCTTGAGCTTGTTTTTTTGATAGAAAAATGAAACTACTGTTGATTCTACTAGGAGACATTGCTGTAAAACACTCAGCTCAATGTGGAATTAATGGAGATATGGCCTAGATATAACATGTTGATTCTATTTATAAATTTGGAGCCATTCATTTTGTGTTTATTCCTTATTTACTTGTAGGTAAGGCTTCATTTGGCTAAAATTAAATTTCATTATGCTTGTAGCTATTAATTTTTAAAAATTATGTTTTGAAAACAATTATGCTTGTAGCTATTAAATTGCATTTCGCTAAAAAATTATGCAATTAAAATTAAAATTGCATGGCCTCGTTTGATAACAAATTATTTTAGTAAATTTTTTTATTTTTTACAAAAAAATGTATAGAAAAGTAGAGAGAATGATATAATAACTTATAATAATTTTCTGACTTCTTAGCTAAGTCTCCAATTGAGAGCTACCGGAAATTGGAAATTGGGCTAACGGTGGTGATATAAAATTAAATTAATAATAGTTTTGGACTCGTTTGGTAAATAGGTTAAAAGTAATATTTTAGTTTTTAACCTCTTTTGAATCAATCACCTCTTTACCCTTTTACGGGTTGTGGGATATTGCCTTGAGGTGCTGCGAGTCAAAATGTGATTTTGACTCTTAGATGCATATTCAAGTATAAAAAAACAAACTAGTTGTCAAGAGGGCTCGAACCCAGACGAATCCGGATCCTTGGCCGCCTTACCCGGCGGCCCTACCCGGCAGCCCCCCAAAACGACGTCTTTTTTGGGGTTTTTTTTTTATTTATTTTTGGTGTGTGAGACGACCCATCAATATTAAATGACATCCACCTAGTTTGATTTATGGACATATAATTTTTTTTTATTAATGACACCATTTAAAATAATTGATATACGTAATATTTATTCTTAACTTAGGTACCCAAGCATATATATACATATATAAGTAATTTTTTGCATAAAAAACACTTATGTTGGTTTGAAAGATATTTTCATAATGTAATAAATAAAATATATGTCCAATATATTTAGGAGTAGACTAGTGCATCGGTTTTTTTTTCTTCAAGTGGTCTGGGTTCGAGTCCGGATTCTCGGCCGCCCTACCCGGCTTTTTTGAAAATTTGCCCCCAAAACGACGTCGTTTTGGGGGCTGCCGGAAACGGCCGCCGGGTAGGGCGGCCGAGAATCCGGACTCGAACCCAGACCACTTGAAGAAAAAAAAACCGATGCACTAGTCTACTCCTAAATATATTGGACATATATTTTATTTATTACATTATGAAAATATCTTTCAAACCAACATAAGTGTTTTTTATGCAAAAAATTACTTATATATGTATATATATGCTTGGGTACCTAAGTTAAGAATAAATATTACGTATATCAATTATTTTAAATGGTGTCATTAATAAAAAAAAATTATATGTCCATAAATCAAACTAGGTGGATGTCATTTAATATTGATGGGTCGTCTCACACACCAAAAATAAATACTAAACTAAATCAAAATTCTTAAAATAATAGTAAATTCAGGTAGGGGTGTGCGCGGTGCGGGTCTGTGCGGTTCGAGAGAAAAATAGAAATCGTATGGCGAGTGGCGGATTGATAAAAGTGTCACTAAAATTTGTCATTTTTCTTATCAAAAACCGATAGTTCGGTTGACAAATAATAGCGGATTTGCCTTTGCAGTGCGGGCGGATTGGCAGTTTATAAAAAATATAATTCAAATTTCAAAACTTAAATCAAAGAGTAAAAAAAATACGAGAGATACCGTGATGTTAAACATCTTGGGAAGCTTTCTTCTGATGCAACAAGTGTAGCAACAACGTGATAATATCAACGACTATGTCATCAGTTCATTACAAGCATATGTGGAAGCTACAATGATCAAATACAATACATAAAATTAATGTCATTCAGGGTTTACAATATATTGAAAATGTTTACTATTGAAAAGTATTTAGATTGAAAAGTGAGCTGATGCAAGTTTGCAATATGGCTAGAAAAAAAAAATATATTGAAAAGTGAATTGGAATCCAGCTTTATTTTGGATTACTGACATCTTGAATTCCCCTCGAGCAGTAATGTAATACTAAATTCTAAGGTATAGAACAACAAGCGAACTTAAGTAAAAAAAAAAATTTAGAATCTTATAAAACATGATTTAATAGCAGTGCGGATCGGTGCGGTTTGGAAGAAAAATAGAAACCGGCGGATTAATAAAAGTGTCACTAGAATTTGTCATTTTTCTTATTAAAAACCGGCGATTCGATTGGCAAATAATAACGAATTTACCTTGGCGGTGCGATTCGATGCGGTTTCGACGGTATTATGCACACCCCTAAATTCAGGTATCAATCCACATGGACAATTGTGAAATTAAACTAATTTAAATGCTAAATTCATAAATTAATTTTGATGAAAAAAGATGGTTGTTCATAACCTAATAATAATTAAATTAAAACAAAGCAATTAAACTAGCGATTAAAATTGAAATTGGAAGTACTGATTGTGGAAAAGCCTAGAGTAATGAATTCACCACTAGTTATAAAAATAAGGCTTCAATTTGAGACTGAATTATGTTACGGTTCAAACAGAATAATACTTCGCAACTACAAGTTCGAAACATTTATCAAGAAAACCATCACGTTTAATGTATGGACACGAATCATCTCAAGTAGTACAAATCGTTCGCTCTAAACTAAGGTAGCGATATGACTCATCTCTCGTAGTATAGTTCATCTCATATATTGAATATGAAATAATAGAAAACAATTACAGAAAGTATAATACTTAAAGAGATAATGAAAAATAAATATTTGGAACTTCATAAACACCATAGAATTTGTTCAAACTTGTACATAATCAAAAATCAAAGAGAAAACCTAATTACATAGCTAGGATATCATCAAAACCCTAGAAAAAATGAGCCTAGCCACTCACGAAAGAGTGGGAAGAGATAGAGAGAGAAGAACCATCCATGGAATGGCAAGCTTGAGAATCCTCTCTTCCAAACCCTAGTCTTTTCTTTTTCTTCGATTTTTTTAGAACCCTATTCTAGCCTATTTTATGTCTTTTTACACCTCTAGCTTCTTCCAACAGATTCAAAATAAACAGGCTTGTGTCCCAAGATAAGCCCGTACGTACGGGAGTGGTGCGGGAAAGGGTGCTGTACGTGCGGGAAGCTTAGGCTCTGTTTGGCTACGAGCTAAAAGCCGCACGTGCGGGAATGGGCCTCCGCATGTGCGGGAAGCAATTTTCTGCTTATTTTATACTCCCATTGTGTACAAATCTGATTGACATTAAACAAGCATAAAATGTATAGTTTGTCAAGCAAGTAAAATTAAGAAATCCTAATTAACGGCCTTAGTATTGCATAATTCAGCTTTAATCAAATATCATTTTACCATGTAATTCTTAATTTTATAGTGAGAAAGAAAATAGTCTCCACCTAGTTAAAATTAAGAACTGCATGGTAAAATGATATTAAATGACATCCACCTAATTTGATTTATATACATATAATTTTTTTTTATTAATAACACCATTTAAAATAATTGGTATAAGTAATATTTATTCTTAACTTAGGTACATAAACATATATATAAATAATTTTTTGCATAAAAAACATACATATAAACATATATATGTTGGTTTGCAGGATATTTTCATAAAATAATAAATGAAATATATGCCCAAAGTATTTAGGTGTAAGTAGTGCAGTGGCTGAAGACGCTTCTTTTCTTTAGGTGGTCAAAGTTGGAGCCTTCAGGTGGTCTGTCTTCGAGCCCTATTAACAATTAAGTTTTTTGTTTTTGTTTAAATAAGGTTAATATATTAATTAGTGTACTAATTGATATTGTGGTATAATTTAATTTTTTTTAATATTTATAATTTTTATAATAAGTGGGGTCAATAATAATATCATAATTAATATTGGTACACTAGTTAATATACTAATTGGCTTATGTAACATCACTATTTTTTTTATATTTGAATATGCATTTAGGACGTCGTTTTGACTCGCAACAGTTACTGCTGTGAGAGACTTACAGTAGGATTTGGGATGGTTACTGTATGGGAGAACACAGTTGCCACTGTTGTGCACCCAAATGTACCAATTTTGGGACCCATTTAGATAATCCGAACTATTTACATTTTAGAATATATCAAGTAGAACATACCTGCAAATCTGACTTCGAGCCCTATTAACAATTAAGTTTTTTTTTTTTTTGTTTTTAAATAAGATTAATATATTAACTAGTGTACTAATTGATATTGTGGTATAATTTAATTTTTTTTAATATTTATAATTTTTATAATAAGTATGGTCAATAATAATATCATAATTAATGTTGGTACACTAGTTAATATACTAATTGGCTTATGTAACATCACTATTTTTTTATATTTGAATATGCATTTAGGATGTCGTTTTGACTTGCAACAGTTACTGCTGTGAGAGACTTACAGTAGGATTTGGGGTGGTTACTGTACGGGAGAACACAGTTGCCACTGTTGTGCACCCAAATGTACCAATTTTGGGACCCATTTCGATAATCCGAACTATTTACATTTTATAATATATCAAGTAGAACATACCTGCAAAGAATCAAATTAAACAGATATCGTTTACCCTTTCATTTTAGAATACATTAAGTAGGACATAACTGTAAAAAAATCAAATTAATCGGATATTATTTACCCTTTCATCCACTCACATTAAAATGTGAACGATTCAAATTATCGAAATGAGTTAATTTGGTTATACAACAGTAGCTACTATATGCCTCGTACCGCAACTATCCCAAATCCCTTACAGTAGTATTCCTAAATCCATTTTTTACACGTTTTTTTAAAAAAATTATAAATTAATTTTTAACCTACTTTTCATCACAACCCTTCTATTTAAAAAAAATAAAAATTAATTTTTAACCTACTTTTCATCACAATCCTTCTATTTAAAAAAAAATTAATGTCTTTAAACTAATAAATATATATTAATTATTTTTAAATTAATACAAAATATTTTTTATGGAGCTAAATATAAAAATTTCAACAAAAAAAACAGCACATTATTGTGTACTTCCATCTTTAATAATATATATATACAAACTCATTTTATTTTTTTAGACATATCTAAATTATGATACATATATACAAACTCGTTTTATTTATTTAGGCATATCTAAATTAGATATACCTAATTATTAAAATAAAAATTATTAATTTAAAAAAATTAAAGGCAATTCTTAAAAAACAAAGCAATGTTTGGTTTCATTATGAAAAATGTCTGCCCGAAAACTTAAAACTAGTTGTATTGCCAATTGATTGTGTCGCCTCTTCCTCCTAAAACCCTAGCCAACTCTCTGTTGGCTTCACGACCTAGGGTTTCTGGCTTCCTCTAAACCTCTCCATGGAAGGATTCGAATTTGATGCACCACCGCCGTACACGGCGGCCGACGAGACCGATGACTTCTGCAACTCAATCATCACTCGATTCAGCTCCTCCACGGAGGACCACCACCACCGCCTCTGCGCCATCATCGGCGCAATGTCTCAGGAGCTCAAAGACCAAAAGCTCCCTCTCACTCCCGTCGCTTACTTCGGCGCCACTTGCTCCTCCCTCGACCGCCTCTCTGCCGAGGCTGAGCCGCCCAGTCACGTCGTCGAAGCCCTCCTCACTATTCTCTCCACCGTTATTACCCATATCTCTGCCGCCATTTTGAAGAAGAAAAGCGAGTATGTGTCTGAGCTTCTTGTTCGTATTCTGCGTTCGAAATCGATCACTCCTGGTGCGGCTGTGTCTGGTTTGAAATGTGTTTCGCATTTGCTGATCATCAGAGAGAAGGTCGCGTGGTCCGATTTGTCTTCGCTTTATGGATTTGTTCTAGCTTATGTTACTGATGACTGTCCCAAGGTGATAATTTTCCCAATCTACAATTCTCTCTCTCTCTCTCTCCATTAAATTTGAGTGAAAATTTGGTTAAAAGATTGATATATGGAACGCTCCAATCCTTACTCTATTTTTTTCATCAAATCTTTTTGAAAAATTACCAAACTTGTTCTAAAAATCTGTTTGAAAACCATCTCCAATCTCTATTCCTTTCAAAATGTCATTGAATTTGAGTAAAAATATGGTATTTTGAAAAATTACAAACTTATTTTAAAAATCTGTTAGAACCATTTTTATGAAAGACAACCATCTCCAATCCAAATCCTTGCTCTCTTTAAAATTTTGTCAAATTTGAGTAAAGATATGAATGTTAGAAATTTGGAGAAGGATTTAGTTCATCCTTGATTTGGTGAAAAAATATACAGATTTGATGAAATGGTTGGACACTTCTAGCCATTGTTTCATTAAATTTAAATTTGCCGGAAAAAATTGATGAAGGATTTGAGATGCTCTTATTTGTCTTGATTGCTGTGTCTTGATACATTTTCTATTACATTTAGCACTAGAGTGAGACTTTTGTATCCCAAGATCCACTTTTAGACCATTCAGTCTAATGTGGTTTGTTTGTATGGAAGTTCATTTTTTTTTTTTTTAAATTTTTTTAAAAAAATTTCCAGTAATGGTTCTATATCTACGCTTCCCCTTAGCATAATGAATTGATTTTATTGTCGCTTGCCGAGAAACAGTTATATTCTTCCAATGTGACTAATATTTATTAAGAAAACATGCATATATGTATTATTTTTAAGAATGCAAAACTTCTCACTGATGTTCTATATTCGTTAACATATTTCATGAACTCTTGTGTTCATGAAAGGTTTAGCTAGGAATAAGTTAGTATGATATTAAGTGGCATTTCTTTCTTCTTTTTTTTTGGATTTTGCTGTCTTTTGTTTTCTGGTTTTTGATCTTCACTACTTTCTTTCTTAAAAGTTATTATATGAATTAGTTACTAAAAGTTTATTGTCAACAATTTTCATTATAAAGCTTCTATTTCCTTTCTTATTTTTTTCCCATTGACATGGGATATCACTTCTATAGTTTCAGAGAGATTATTTTTCATTCTTTATGATAATTAAAGATCTTGCTGTTTATTATATGTTTGGGGATTATTAGTGAGGTTCTATGAATGCTAGTCCATGGCATGTATAACTCTGAGTTTTGTTCATATTAAATTTTATAGATTGCATTCTTTCCCCATAAGCATATAATCATAAGCCTTCTGATGTTGCTAACAATTCAGGTCAGGAGGCAGTCGCATATGTGTCTCCGTGATGTCCTGCTTAGTTTTCAAAGAACATCAGTGCTGGCACCTGCAAGTGAAGCCATCACAAACGTCTTTGAAAGGTTTCTGCTACTTGCTGGTGGATCAAATGCAAGTTCTTCAGAAAGGCCCAAAGGAGCTCAGGAGGTCTTATATATTCTGGATGCTCTTAAAGATTGTCTTCCTCTTTTATCCTTGAAGTTCTCTACTAGCATTCTGAAGTACTTCAAATCTCTATTGGAACTGCGGCAACCGCTTGTTACCAGGCGCATAACAAACAGTTTGAATGCACTTTGTCTCCACCCAACAGTAGAGCTTTCTCCTGAAGTGCTGCTTGATCTGTTATGCTCATTAGGTCTTTCTATCTCTGCAAATGAGATGTCTGTGGATGACATGACGTTCACCGCTAGGCTGCTTGACATTGGGATGAAAAAGATTTATTCTCTGAACAGGCAGATTTGCATAGTCAAACTCCCTCCCATATTCAATGCACTTAGAGGTTTGATATTTGTTATGCTCTGCTTTTCATGTCCCCCTTTAAACAATTATAGTTACATATAGTTTGGAATAATTGGCGAACATGTGTCAATTTTGTGTTTACTCGAATTTCAATGACAGTATGGAACCGGTGTACAAGTTAGTAAGTTTCTCATGTTGTTTTTGTTTTTCCAGATATTTTGGCATCTGAACACGAGGAGGCCTTATTTGCATTTTGTTTTTCCAGATATTTTGGCATCTGAACACGAGGAGGCCTTATTTGCAGCCACAGAAGCCTTCAAGAGTGTAATACATGCATGTATTGATGTAACTTTGATCAAACAGGGAGTGGATCAGATTATAGCAAGTGTAAATGTTGACACAAGAAAGTCTAGGCCAACTATCATTGAAAAAATTTGTGCAACTATTGAAAATTTACTTGATTATCGCTATTCTATGGTCTGGGACATGTCGTTTCAAGTTGTTTCAACAATGTTTGACAAATTAGGTATCTTATTTTTGTATTTGATCTGTTATCCCTATCTATTTTGCTTTATGTCTACATCATCATATATTTTGCATGCAGTGAATTCCTATTTTCCAAATTAGAAGTGATTTCGTGCATTGAGAATGATCTTTGGATGCAATGCTTACTTTCGGGTTTTTTTCATGCTGTTCAGATATATTTCTTGTGTTGTCATTGTTGGTTTTCTGTATTCTTGTGATATGATTCCAAATCTTTTAGTCTGGTGGATTATTGATCTTGTAATAACGGTGAAACTACTAATGCTTCAGGTGTATATTCTCCTTACCTATTGAAGGGAACACTTGAGAACTTGGCAGATATGCAGAAATTGCCAGATGAAGACTTCCCTCACAGAAAGCAGGTAGCATTAATGTTTGTGGAGAACCCTTGTCCTTGGTGTACTCTGATTTAATGGTGTTATTTAATTGTTTCATGTTTGTTGTGCTATTATGCTATTATGGATTTTGGATTGGTATTCTTGTAAAATTGCTTATTAATTGTTTGTAATTTCTACAATTGCTAAGGCTCTGTTTGGTTACTGGATTACTAAAATAGTCAATTTTATTTAAGCGGTTTTTTTTTTTGGGTGCATGTTTGGAAGTGCTAATTTAGTTAACGAGGAAAAGTCACTTTTTTAATAAAACCCACATTGTTTGGCAAATTTTTTGTGATTATATTCCTTGCTATGAAGGACGGGTTCGGGTACGAGTACGAGTACTGGTACGATACGGGTATGTTGATAAAACAAAATTCAAAAAAAATAGGGTACGAGTACGAGTACTAGTACATTTGTAAAAAAAAATATTTATTTTTAATTTAGAGTAAAGCAAAAATTAATTAAATGGTTTAATTTGTTAAGGTCCAACCTACAATTAACATTTAATGTTAAAAGTAAAAGTATAAATCAAAATTAAATGTCAATATATTAAATAATTTACAAACCATAGTTTAATTTTAAAATCATGCTAAGTATAAAACAAAAAATAAAAAATATATCTAGTGAAGTAGTTTTATCTTTATAGTAGAAGAAAATATTGTTTAAATTGAGGTACAGTATAACTTAGGTATATACTAGGTACGTTTGGGTACACTAAAAATTAAGAAGAAAAATTTAGAGTACGTGTTTTGTGTACCCAGTATGTATGCAGAAGTACCATACGGGGTACCATAAGCCGATAGATACTTGGTACGGGTACGCCATGTTTTTCAAAGTATCCAGGCTTCATAGCTTCCTTGTCTAGTGTTTTTTTCCAAATAAATTATTTCGAATTTTATTTTTTTACTTTTGGTGTGTGTGTGTGTTGGGGGGGTGGTTAACTTCCTTGTCTAGTGTTTTTTTAAAATATTTTTTTTTGAACTTTTTGGGTCCTTTTAGTCTTGAAGGATCTGAAAAGTAAAAAAAAAAGTTCACGAAAGATAAAAAAAAATTCAAACCATAATATAATTAAGACCTATAAATATTTTTCATGGGTACCATTGAAGATAAATAAACCTTGTCACATTCAAAATGGATATGCTAAATTCACATTATTGAAACATAGAGTATTTCACATTATTGAACTTGTAGCCATAAGTTTGGGACATGCAAACAACTGCCCAAGGTGATTTTTATTTTTATTTTTATTTTTCTGATCCCCACTTTGTGAAACAAAGGTAGCCTTTATGGGTAAAGTACTAGCTTTTTTGGCTACAAGTTGAACTGATTTACAAAGATTTCTTTGTCAGTGACAGTCAACATCGTTATGCTCTGCTTTTCATGTCCCCCCTGGTCTTTGACATATTGATGTACTTGTTACGCAGCTGCATGAATGCATTGGATCAGCCCTTGGTGCCATGGGTCCTGAAACATTTTTAAGTATCCTACCTCTTAAGCTAGAGGCTGAAGATCTATCCGAGGCTAATGTTTGGCTCTTTCCAATTTTGAAACAATACATGATCGGTGCTCGTTTAGGCTTCTTTACAAAGTCAATTTTGGCTATGGTTGGAATTGTAAAGAAGAAATCTCAAATGGTATGGATATTTTGATTCCTAGTTGTATTATGTTTTTGTTTATTGTATGGGCTATGCACTTATATCTTGCTTTTGGCAGCTTGAGCGCGAAGGAAAGATTTATTCATCAAGGAGTGTTGATGGACTCGTATACTCTCTATGGTCCTTGCTGCCATCCTTTTGCAATTACCCCTTGGATGTTGCTGAAAGCTTCAAGGACTTGGAGAAAACCTTGTCCCGTGCTCTTCGTGAGGAACCTGATGTACATGGAATAATATGTTCTAGTCTGCAGGTCCTCATTCGGCAAAATAAGACAATTGTGGAAGGAAAAGATGTTCTATCTGGTATTGAAGTAAGCATTCCCAGACAACAAGCTATGACCCGTTATACCCCACAGGTTGCAGCTGATAATTTGAGTGTGCTGAGGTCATCTGCTCGTGAGTTATTATCTGTCTTATCAGGAATCTTCCTGAAATCCTCAAATGATGCAGGTGGATGCTTGCAGGTACTTCTACATTCCGTCTCAATCAAAAACCATGTGCATTCTTAGAATTGCCCTTGCAAATACAGATTCTTTTCCATTTGATTGTTAGTATGATTTGTACTAATTTTATTTAATATGAACTTAAATAGAACTTGAGCTTCTCCACCCACCCACCCATTTTTAATTTGGTAGGTTGGTATTCAGATCTTAATTACAACTTAGAAAATCAGAATTCTGTTGTTTGTAATTAGTGTCGGAGATAATATAGATGGTAATTTGATGTGATCTAGTTTAGTTTTTCCGTTGATTTTTCCTGAATATTATTAGTAAATTCATTTTTTGTAATCTGATGGAAATGGCTAACAAATCTTGGTTTATATGATGCTTTCAGTTATTGATTGCTTGGCCATCCTAGTCAAATGTACTTGAAATGAATAAATGTTAATGTGTTGTGTCCATTCAAAACCTACGCCTTGGATATGCCTTAATGGTGAATAGTAATTTTCCATTGATCTCATCATCTTATTTTGGTATGTGGATTGAGTGTGTTCTAGGTATTATGTGGAGAATGTCCTTACATCAACTTTTGAAAAAATGTTTTTCTTGTTCTCATTAACTTAGTCATTGGATGATTAGATGCATGTAGATGTTTGATCATACAATATGAATGCATTCACCTGAAGAGCTATTTACATTACACTATTTTTATTGAGCAAGATGCATGTAGATGTGCTTATGCAATCTGAATGCATTCACAGTGAAGAATTATTCATTTTTCACCTTTTTTGTTTTTTGTGGAGTTATGTTGATTGAAATTGCTAGATTTGAGGTTTCTGAGTTATTTAACAAATCTTTGCTCAACTTGCAGACCACAATTGGTGAATTTGCTTCAATATCTGATAAAGCAGTTGTCACAAGGTTCTTCAAGACTACAATGCAGAAGCTCTTAAAAGTGACTCAAGAAGCTAGCAAAGCAGAAAGCTCCCGAAGTTCTAATCAGATGCAGATGGACAATTCATCGAATGAAAATTCACTGTCACTAGCAAGGTGATATATATACTTATTACTACATGCATATTACTCTTATTTTTAGCATCTTTGGCAGTTCCTTGTTATGATATTTGTTATTTTTCATATCTGGATTACCAAATATATATCTACAAATTAAGTGTGAGATATTTGGCAGTTAGGCTTGTGTGATATTTGACAATTACTTTTTCTTGCAAGTGTAGGGCACAGTTGTTTGATTTGGCAGTGGCATTTTTGCCTGGTTTAGATGCAAGCGAGATTGATCTATTGTTTATTGCAGTAAAACCGGCATTAAAGGTTTGCTGATGTTTCTGTTCGATTATTATTGATTAAGACTGTCTTGGTCTAATCCTTCAGAAGTTGAAGTAATAAAAATTACTCTGAATCGCAGGATGTTGAAGGTTTCATCCAAAAGAAGGCATACAAAGTTCTCTCTTCTATTCTCATGGTATTTTTCTTTTTTATTTACTATAAATGGCTGTGTTTTATGGGAGAGACCTTTGCTGAATAGTTCCCAATGGTTAAAAAAAAGACGAGAACTTAACCAAAATGCATTGACCATGATGTATCACTTCCTAGGTATTAAATTGAAAGAAGTTTGAGCTCATAGGGATTATAGCCGACGTCAATTATGCAACACTTCTTTGGCCATAGACCTTAATTTTGTAATCCATGATAAAGAGAATCAGTGTTGAGCACTTAACTTTTTCCGGAATTTGAGATATTACAACTTTTCATCATCAATAATTTTTTCTCAACAGAATTTTTTCCCTGACTGATATGCCTACTGATTTGGATGGACAGAATTCTGATGGATTTCTTTTAAGAAAGCTCGAGGAGTTGCTTAATCTGATGATTGATGTGCTGCCTTCATGTCATTTTTCGGCCAAACGTCACCGGCTTAATTGTTTGTACTTCCTAATTGTTCATGCCTCCAAGGTCATAATTGAGATTTCACAATAATGTGCTGTACTTGTTTGCAAAAATTATATATGATAGACAAATTTGGTTTACTATAATCATCACATAAGATAGGTAAGTTGCATGATCCTCAACAATGTATGTTTTGCCACAGGATGAATCGGAGCAGATGCGGCGCAACATCATTAGTTCTTTCTTAACTGAAATTGTACTTGCACTGAAAGAGGTATTCTGTTTTATCTGGTGGGAGCTTGGGTCAACAAAGCATGGCTTCCAATTCTGTGCTTGTATTTTTTATATTACTGATTATCAAGTGAGGTCTTTATTTGGTAAATCAGAGTTTATTGACATGTTGCTTTTCTCATTATTGTTTTTCCCTGAATCTTGATTCTAGCCATGCTAATAGTCTCAGTTGAATATGCCTTTCAATACCACATTTTGCCTCAATTAAGTGGGTGTTTGGGATTGGCTTTCTTAGTGACTTTTTAACGTTTTTAAGAGAAAAAAATGTGTTTGGGAATGGCATTTTTAGTTGTATGGGAAAACACGAATGGCTGGTGTCATACTTTTGTTTTTTGCTTGAATTTTCTATTTTACCTTTCCAAAGGTGGAAAGACCTATGTACTCATGAGGGTAGTTTAGTATTTCCATACTGGTAACACTTTTTGGCCTTTTGAGCTTTTTAGCCAAAAATCCCAAACCAGGCCTAAGAGAGCAATGGTTTATGTACTTCTTACTTTGGAAAAAGAAATAGTGGTGCTATGAGAAATGAACTTTGAGCTCTCTTTTTGTGCTTCTAAGCTTCTTGCTGTGTATTATAGCACAGATAGAACATGCTGATGCATCTTTTTTGACAAATCTTCTTGCAGGCTAACAAAAAAACGAGGAACAAAGCTTATGATATACTTGTCCAAATTGGCCATGCTTGTGGAGATGAAGAGAAAGGTGGAAAAAGGGAAAACTTGCATCAATTTTTTAACATGGTACAAAATCTATTCTCTTATTATGATGTATGTTACATGAACTCGGGTGGGGGTACATATCTAGAAGTTGGACCTATGAAACCTTAAATTTTAGGGTATGTGGAGTCCGCAAAAAAGGATAATATTTTTAATCTATTATGTGAGATATATTATATGTAACATATGGTGTCAAAAGGGCATTTTTAATCTATTATGTGAGATATATTATATGTAACATATAGTGTCAAAAGGGCATTTTAATCATTTTATAGCAATTGTACTACAATAATATATACACATAGTGATAGTGTTACAAATATATAAGAAGTGTCCGATGAAAAGTATCGGACACATTTCCCACACCCTTGTCCAAGTGTCCGGTGTTTGATATGTATATTTGATTTGTTTTGAAGAGTCTATGTAACATAGATTGTAATGAACATCGATATATTGATAATTGAAGTTGTAGTCTTGTTGCTTACTTTGTGTTGTCACAGGTAGCTGGAGGCCTGGCTGGCGAGACCCCTCATATGATCAGTGCGGCAGTGAAAGGCTTAGCTCGCTTGGCTTATGAATTTTCTGATCTAGTTTCAGCTGTTTATAATGTTCTCCCATCTGCATTTCTCCTCCTTCAGAGAAAAAACAATGAAATAGCTAAAGTTCGTTATGGTCTAAGTAAACAGTACTACTTGATAGGGCATAGTTTGTTCACCTTTTTTTTGAGTCATTGAGAGATTTGATTTTCTTGATTTTTCTTTTTGATGCAGGCTAATCTAGGTCTTTTGAAGGTATTGGTGGCTAAATCACAAGCTGAGGGGTTGCAAATGCACTTAAAGGGCATCGTGGAAGGTCTGCTGAAGTGGCAAGATAGCACCAAGAGCCTTTTTAAAGCTAAGGTCTTGTTTTTTTATCCTAGCTTGGCCATTTTAGTTGTTAGAATAGTACTAATTTTAGGCGGTGTTGTCTACCTCTAAGCTAGTATTCTGCAAACCAATGGGTACTTCTGGCAGCTGTGGCATTCCTTATAGTTGCCTTCGATAATCCATTGCTTCCTGCTTCAGAATTTCCTTATTTCTTCAAAGTAAAACCCGAATTTGAGCAATTTACAAAGGAGTGTAGGTAAATACGAATAGATTGGTAAGAGGTAGGAGTTTGATTCTGTGTCAATAGAACCAGTTCCTTTTGATACTATTAAGACCATTTGATAGCATAGGTTTGTAATTCCCCTTCACTTGGTCATTTCAGTTGTCATAATGGTAAAGATCATTACAGAGTTGCCGACCTTTGAGCCAGTATTTGAAAACAAGCTAGAACTCATGCTACACGCTTCTATGTTAGTTGGTTAGACCTGGGAAAATATGATCGTTATGCTTTAGAATTACCTGAGGTCTTGAGTAAATTACATAAACTAATCCTATCATATATATCCAATCCTTCATCCCATCTAATCATATGATAGGATTATGGATAGGATTATGTACGGTATTCATTAAATTGGTAGGTTGGTAAGATATTGGGGCTTGACTCTTTGCAGTAGATTGAAACTGGTTCCGTTGATTGCCAATGCATTGGGTTTTGATCCTGTTAAAAATCTTATGTGACTGAAGTTTAATGATTTGAATGCCAAACTGCTACACTTACGAAATTTCTGTATCAACTTTTTTCAATTACATATCGGAAGACTGGTGGATTTGGGATTGTATATGTTGGAATGTGGCAATTCTGATTGAATAAATTTTGATATATTCTTTTACATCTGATCTGAATTTGATCTATCCAAGGCCTAGTTGCAGCATCGATAAATGGTAAAACAAATTTTCTAAATTTATGGTGTCCATGCTACAAGTAAGGGTATTTGTAATCCATACAAGGCCAGATTTTTATTTATTTATTTATTGTGATAAATAAACTAACTTTATTGAAAAAGCATCAAGGTGATGCAAAGAATACAAAACTTTTGCCTACGAAAGGCCAAAAGCTAACTAATCAAATCATCTACAAAATCTGCCAATGTCAGCACATTTGGGTCTACTGAAAACCGTGACCCAACTATGAAGCACAGTAATCAACCTCCCCTCCAACCAAGGGCCAGATTCTCTATTAACATTAGTGTTGTTGGTGAGCTACAATCTCAGTTCATTACAGCTGTGCGACCTCTATGGGTCTTACCCTTCTCCTCAAGTATTTTGGATTAATTATCATTCATGCTACACACATAATTCTACCATGCATCAATAGCTATATTGCATATGGTATTGTGTTCTGAAATGGTTCCAAGCCTATGCTTGTAAGTTGGATTTAAAATCACTGGGTTAGTTTATTTTCTGCAGATTAAGGTTCTCCTTGAAATGCTAGTCAAGAAATGTGGTTTGGACGCTGTTAAGGCTGTAATGCCTGAAGAGCACATGAAACTTCTCACTAATATACGAAAGGTATATTAAAAGCTTTATACACATTTATTGATGGTTTATATACTATTCAATCCAACTTTAATGTATTTGGTCTTTCAAAATGAAGATCAAGGAACGGAAAGAAAGGAGAGTTGCTGCCAACTCTGAGGAAAGTAAAAGTCATCAGTCAAAAGCAACTACATCCAGGTTTGTCTCTTAAACAGACACACGATCTATTGAACATGTAATGTCCTACCAAGTAACTTGTTTTATGTTGCAAATGTGTGGAGACCAATTCTTTATTGTTCACCTGTGCGTGCATGGCATGATGGTTGAAAAGTTGTCACATCGCCTGATTGGATGGGATATGGTTTTTTTTATTTTTTTATTATGTATATTTTGCTGACAGAATCGGAATGTTAGAAACTTGCTTTTTCGATGGTTTTTTTTTCATCAAGGAGTTTTTTGATTAGCTTTCATAGATCAAATACAAATAGTACACGGAGTATATGATCCTTTATTGGTTTAGAATTGTGCATGCTACTGTCGGATAAAGATTTTTAAGTGGCCGAAGGGCTTTCCTTGGCTAGTGGGCCCAACCCAAATATTAAGACAACTCATTTGCTATGCTAATTTACATGCTGATATATTTTGTTAAGAAACATTTATTTTTTATGTTGGTTGTAACTTGTGATTTTTTGATTTTCTTTGCAGGCTGAGCAGGTGGAATCATACAAAAATATTTTCTGATTTTGGTGATGAAGAAACTGACAGCAATCCAGAAACAGTTTCTGGTCGACGGAGCAAGGCTTCCGCACTGTTGACATCCGAAGCATCTTCACTCCGGTGAGTGAGCAGCTACTTGACCTGGTAGAAAATTATTGAGGGTGCAAGGATTGGATCTTGAGGGATTGAGGGCTAAAAAGTTATCCTAATCCCTCCTTTTTAAACTTTCAGAACATCTTCTCTGTTGGGTTGGTTGTCAACCTTTCTGGCACCAATTACAACACCCACTGAGATGCTTGGTTCGCCAGGCCATCTAGTGGCCCAACATACCATGACTCTGTTTCTTTCTTTGCCAAAGTTTTAAAAGGCTTTATTGAGGCTTGCCTTGATGCTTGCATTGAGGTGAGGCTAAGGCAAAATGCATCGATCCTTTGATTTTTAGGCAATACTCCCCTAAGACTAGCGCATCAGTCTGAAGTGTGCGCATTTTGCGCATATGAGGATCACCCATATGAAGAAGATGTTTTTTGCTCTTGTTAAACTTAGTCTAGTAGATGGTTTAAACATTTTAAAAGATCAACCACTTTTGCAACTATATTCCATAGGAAAAATCAAGTGAATGACCTGTTCAGAGAAAAACACAAAATTAAGGCTCAAGTGAGAGGTCTTATAATTGAAGCCAAGAATGTTGATTTCACTTTTGATGAGGGCAAGCTTCCTTTTTGCAATGGAATGTTTGATTCCTTAAGGAGAAAAGAATTCACATTTATATTTACTTTTTGATATATTTTTATTATTTTAAAATATTTAATTTATGTACTACGTATACAATTTTGAAATTTGAAATGCTTACCTTTCGACACTTTAAGGCTTACGCCTTGCCCCAGTAAACCGTGCTTGTATTACACATTTGCCTTTAGAAACTTTGTTCTTTGCCCTGCTTTTTGAGCATTTTTCTACAATGATTTGAATGACAAAGCTCTACCTAATTCGTCCAGGTGCAAGAGAACTCGTAAAGCAGTCAAGAGCTTGCCAGAAGATTTGTTTGACCAATTCGAAGATGAGCCACTAGACTTGCTTGACCGGCAAAAGACAAGGTCATCTCTGCAATCATCTGAGCATCTCAAACGGAAGGCAGATTTGGATGATGAGCCAGAGATAGACTCCGAAGGACGACTAGTAATACGTTTGGGAGGGAAGGAAGATGAACAGAAGAGGGAGATGTCACCTGATCCTGAATCTGATGGAAGGAGTCAAGCAGGTAGTCACGTGTCGATGAACTCACAGAGAGGTCAAAAGCGTAGGAAAACATCAGACACTGGGTGGTCTTACATGGGAAGCGAGTATGCTAGCAAGAAGGCATGCGGGGACGTGAAGAGGAAGGGCAAGTTCGAGCCATATGCATATTGGCCACTTGATCGGAAAATGATGAGCCGTAGACCAGAGCAAAGGGCAGCTGCAAGGAAAGGTATGGCAAGTGTGGTGAAGATGACAAAAAATCTTGAAGGCAAGAGTGTGTCTAGTGCACTTTCTCTCAAAGGGTCCAAGTTTAAGAAGACTAAAAAGAAAGTCACCCAGAAGAAAAGCAGGAAATGATTTTGAGTTTTATTTTCCAAAATTATCAGATTACCAACTACTCACAATGAAGAATGGGGTTCATACTCGTACGGTGTGGATCTTACACTTCGTTTGTAAGTAGTTGATAATTTAGTTTTGTAATTTATTTAGGGGTCTCTAGGACTCTTATATATCGATCAGATGGTTGGTGGAGAGATACAAGGCTAAGTTGGTAATTTTATATTCTTTTCGTGTATAGAGGTTAATGGTACAAGGTTACTAAGCCAATTTTCTCAATTGTGTAATTTGATTTTGGATCTCATATGTGAGTGAGCATCCTATTCATAAACCACTACTGTTTTGGTTAATGATAATGATTTTTGAGTATTTGTAGTTCATTAAATAAGAGATTTTTTTGGTTTTCCTTGAGATTTTATATTAATATTTAGAGGTCATTTGGCACTAAGTTAATTTAGTCATATATTTGTAAAAGTGCTTTTTACACCAATTTCGAAATTAATGCCTAGGGCACTCATCAGCATTTTGTCACTTAAAATCATCAAAATAATGAATGAAAGACTTTTGAGATACTCTCTTTAAATCTCTTTGTTTCTGTATATAAATCAATTAAATTGACATATGCAATTCACACTTTATTTTTTTGATTTCCTTTCATAGCAAAATGTTAATAGAAATTGAGGTTGAAATAAATTTAAAGATTAAGGAGCAAAATGTAATAATTTTTTAGTTGAAGTGAAATAATATTTTAATGGGAGTAAAGTGTAGTTTGCCTCATAAAATCTGGCTAACAATCAGCCTTGAACTAATGAGTAAACAATGCAAAATATATATATATATATATATATGTTTATAATTATTTTTTCACTGTTTATGGCTGAGATAAATGACAGAATATAATTTATTTCTATTATTTTTTTTAATAATTATTCCCAACTATATTTGTACACATTTTTTTCCTCGAGAGTAATACTACGAATCCATCCTTATTAATCCAAATATTATCCAAAGTCTTTTATCTTGTGATTCAGATTTATTTTATGTATAAACTCCACGTCACACAAATTTAATTTCTACCGAACAAACACTAAACTAGAAAATAACGGGTTCACAGTTTTTTTTTTGGAAAATATTATAAGTTTTAAATTTTCTACCAAATAAATAATCAAATATCTCCACCAATGTAAGTCCAAAAAATTATAAATCTCAATCACTTATTTAATATAAAATTTAATATTTCTAACATTACATTTTCTTTTTTCCCCACATGTGCCGCGCGGGGCAGGAAATTAATACCAATTCGCACCCGGCCCATTATAGTAAAACCCTACACATCTGTGAAACCCTAGTTCATCTCCCACCCGCCTCTCTCTCTCTCTCTCTCTCTCTCTCTCTATAAATACAATCGAAAGGCTTCACCTTTCGAAGGCGTTCTATTAGGGTTTCGGCTGCAGATGAGCTCAATAGCCTGTCACGGTTTGCTCTCTCTCTCCATCCAATGATTGCATAGAGAGTAATAAGCTCAGCTGCTTTATTAGCAAACGCTTCTGAAGTCTCTGTATGTTTCGAATTGAGAGATTATTACAAAGAAATAGCTTTTGTTCCATCTTTGATTTTGTTTATTTAATTTTGTAATTTTTCATATATATATATATATATATATATTTGGGACAGTGATGACTACATGTGATTGGTCTCGTTCGTCGTAATGGCAATTATATTGCCTTGCCGACCATCCTGATATATCACCACCCATAAACTGAGTCCTCTCCAAAATTATGGATTTTTTTTAGTTGTTTTTTGTTTTTATAATTTTCTTCTTGTAAAATGGCCAATGATTAAACAATTTTTCATAGACAAGCATATGTCTGAATTATATTGTGTTGAATAACTAATCTTCTCTATGAGGCCAATTTCTTGTTTTATTTTATTTATTTATTTATTTTTTTTGGCAGCTTTGTGTTGTTTTGAGTTTTGACAATGCCAATGATGAACAAAAGTACTGTGTAATTTATGATAAATCATGATTACAACTATACTACTGCCTTCCTTCTGAGGCTTTCTTTTGTTTTTGATATTTTAGACTTGGATTTGTATGTTTTTTGAGTGTTTTGTGTATGTGAAAATTAGCAGAACAGGGTCAGATGATGATTTAATGCATAGTTCAAATGATAATATATGATTAAACATTTGAAAGTCTTTCGCTCCTATCTGATGACTCTGTTTTGGTTCTCTGTGAGTCTTTTTTTCAACTGAGAGGTGTTTTGGAAAGATGATTAAAAGTTGTTTTTTGAATTTTTTTTTTGACTTTTTTTTGTGAGAGATGGACTTTTAACTCACTTCTTAAAAACTATTATCGGTTTATATTTTGATTTTGCACTTGGAACTAATAATGCTTTTATGTGAGTTGTTCAGCCATGATGGTGAGACTGCTTGGTTGCTTGATGTGGTGACCTTGAAGAGGATCTCATATGTTGAGATTTAATATATTGAAATTTATAGAAAGTGAATAAAAATACCAGCTGGGGACTACAAATTGGGCTTTTTGGGAGCTCATTTTCGGACTAATTTTGATAATCCAAATCATTTATAGAATATTTGCAGGCACAATATAATTTAATTATGAATCAATTTGTGAACTGATCCAAACTAATTTGTTGATGTAAATGTTTGAGACCCCTCACAACATCATTGCCCTTAATTGAAGCTAGCCTCATTTTATTGGCATTTGAGGCGTTTCAACCTTTGATAACACTGGACTGATCTATTGTATTATAAGAGCATCGCAAATGTGAGATGGATCATGAAGCTGAGAAGGTCCTCCTGGCCACAAAGAAAGGAAAGGAACTTAGTTTTTCCAAATTGAGAAAATTGATAGAAGTGAGCTTGAGGGGAAGAAGGAAGTGATTAACACCAGAAAGAGATGGGAGGGATGGTGACAACTTGAGAGAGGAACAGAAACAGTGGGATTGTGGAGGTAGAACTTGAAGAAACATGGGTCTTGTGCCAATGTAAACAATAATATTCAAACTAGTGATTGAATGGTCTCACATGGTGTTTACACAATTGATGGATATGTACAATTAGTTTTACAATAGATCATATATGCTATTAGTTGACATATGCAAACTACTGACTTCTTTTATCGACTAACTTTTATGGGGATGTTTAATCTCCTCAACTATTTCTAAATAAAAAAAATTATTATTTGGTACTAATTAAAGTATTTTTTTGTTCGATTTAATTAAAATAGTAACATCGGATAAGAAGTAACTTTTTAAAGAACTCGCTCTAGAATGGTGCTACAATCATTTTTCTCTATAGGTACTTGCTCATTTTTTTTACTTTTATTGGTTCATTATTTTATTTTTTATTTATTTATTTTTTTTTTATCAGAAGAAATATATGTCAATTAAGAGAGCCAAACAGCACTTATAAGAATCCAAACAACCCAAATCTTACACCAAACAAAGTGAAAATAAATCAAGAAGCACTCACGGAGAAGAAATATGAAAATATTCAGACGTACATATCGTATTCGTGCTCATACTGCGAAGCAGAGTCGATTATGAAAGTTCGGCAATAGAGCATGTCTGAAATATTTCATAGATTCCAATCACAATGAGAGTAAGCCAAACAAAACGCACATATGGATTCAAAGAAAACCAGACAAACCCAAAAAAATTCAACACAAACCAAAGGAAATAAAACGAAAGAAAAAACAAACACACCCACACCCAATCAAATCCGGCAGCGGCTTCGGCGGATCCGACGTTGGAGAAGAACGGCGATGAAGAGGCAGTGGAGAAGAGGCGGTGAAGACGGTTGGAGAGGCGGAGAAGAGGCGATGAAGGCTATGGGGGAGGCAAATCCGACGTGAATGGAGAAGACGACGAGGAAGAGGCGGTGGAGAAGAGGGGTCAAGCTATGGAGAAGACGACGAGGAAGCGGCGGTGAAGGCAACAGAGTCAGTGCGGATCCGAGAAGGCTACTCCTGGAGTGAATGGATGTAGGAGAAACACCTCACATAGGAGGAAGAAAATGGAAAGCCTAAGCTTCCAAGTTATGGGAATGCAAAATAAGGAAAAGGGAAGAGCAAAAGAGGGGTAAGGGGAGGAGAGAGGAGGCCGGAGGCAGTCGGAAACCCCTCTCCCACTGCCGGCAGCCTTACACTCGGAAATCCTAGGAGGAGAAAAGTTTAGAGAGAGAAACTCTCAAACTAGAGGTAACTTGGGCCTATTATTTTTTATTGTTTCAAAATACATTTTCCTTTTGTTGTCCTAAAATGGGTCATTAAGCATTCTCTGTAACAAAATTACATAATTTTCAGCAATGAAACGAAAGAAAAAACAAACACACCCACACCCAATCAAATCCGGTAGCGGCTTCGGCGGATCCGGCGTTGGAGAAGAACGACGATGAAGAGGCAGTGGAGAAGAGGCGGTGAAGACGGTTGGAGATGCGGAGAAGAGGCGATGAAGGCTGTGGGGGAGGCAAATCTGGCGTGAATGGAGAAGACGACGAGGAAGAGGCGGTCAAGCTATGGAGAAGACGACGAGAAAGCGGCGCTGAAGGCAACGGAGTCGGCGCGGATCCGAGAAGGCCACTCCTAGAGTGAATGGATGTGGGAGAAACACCTCACAAAGGAGGGAGATAATGGAAAGCCTAAGCTTCTAAGTTATGGGAATGCAAAATAAGGAAAGGGAAGAGCAAAAGAGGGGTAGGGGGAGGGGAGAGGAGGCCAGTGCCGCCGAAAACCCCTCTCTCACTGCCGGCAGCCTTACACTCGAAAATCCTAAGAGGAGAAAAGTTTAGAGAGAGAAACTCTCAAACTAGGGGTAACTTGGGCCTATTATTTTTTATTGTTTCAAAATACATTTTCCTTTTGTTGTCCTAAAATGGGTCATTAAGCATTCTCTGTAACAAAATTACATAATTTTCAGCAATGCATTGTTTTTTTAACATTTAATTTAATTTTCATAAACAAATAAATAATTCAAAAAGCAGCAATTGCAAAAATCAATCCTTAGATGGAACTACTAGTAAAAGACTGTCCAAAAACATTTTAATAACCAAATGATAGCAATGAAATCCAAAGGTAACTGTTGAAGAGGTAAAAAAGATAAATGACCCTAAGTTGCATGCGCAATTAGAATTTGGGATAAACTTTCAAACATATAGTTTAAAACAAATATTGTAAAAATCAATTCAAAAAATTTTTAAGAAGTATTCATGTCGAAATAAAGTTAAAAGGAAAATGATTTAGAACCTTAAAACCCCGAAGAAGCAAAGCAATTTTTCATGTTGGCTATTTCTAATGAATGTCAGACTCCATTAGCGCATAATGACAATAATAATGTTGATAGTGGGAGTAAACAACAAGCTATGTGTATTTTGTAGTAAACACAGGATCACATTGGGGAGTGTCAATCCTTGAAGATTATCATTGATGAAGGAAATCGCCTTACAGTGGTGCAGGGATCGCTTGGCTTTGCATAGACAGTAGGAATAAAACAATATATCAATATGCGGTTGCAGTGAATCCTTTTCAGAGTCCACTAGCGGCAGAAGCAAAGGCATGTTTGGCAGCTATTTGTTGGGCGCAAGACAATGGGTTAAAATAAATTACTATTCAAACTGATTGCCAAGTTTTGGTTCGTATGTTCTTTTTTTTCATCGGAAGAAATATGTCAATTAAGAAAGCCAAACGGCACTTACAAGAGTCCAAACAACCCAAAACTTACACCAAACAAAGTGAAAATAAATCAAGAAGCACTCAAGAAGAAGAATTATGAAAATATTCAGAAGTACATATCGTACTCGTGCTCGTACTGCGAAGCAGAGCCGATCATAAAAGTTCGGCAATAGAGCATGTCCGAAATATTTCATAGATCCCAACCACAATGAGGGTAAGCTAAACAAATCGCACATATGGACTCTAAGAAAACCAGACAAATCCAAAAAAATCCAACACAAACCAAAGGAAATAAAACAAAAGAAAAAACAAACACACCCACATCCAATCAAATCCGGCAGCGGCCTCGGCGGATTCGGCGTTGGAGAAAAATGGCGATGAAGAGGCGGTGGAGAAGAGGCGGTGAAGACGGTTGGAGAGGCGGAGAAGAGGCGATGAAGGCTGCTGGGGAGGCAAATCCGGCGTAAATGGAGAAGACAACGAGGAAGAGGCGGCGGAGAAGAGGCGGTCAAGCTATGGAGAAGACGACGAGGAAGCGGCGGTGAAGGCAACGGAGTCTGCACGGATCCGAGAAGGCTACTCCTGGAGTGAATGGATGTGGGAGAAACACCTCACAAAGGAGGGAGATAATGGAAAGCCCAAGCTTCCAGGTTATGGAAATGCAAAATAAGGAAAGGGAAGAGCAAAAGAGGGGTAGGGGGAGGGGAGAGGAGGCCGGAGGCCGCCGGAAACCCCTCTCCCACCGCCGGCAGCCTCACCCTCAGAAACCCTAGGAGGAGAAAAGTTTAGAGAGAGAAACTCTCAAACTAGAGGTAACTTGGGCTTATTATTTTTTATTGTTTCAAAATACATTTTCCTTTTGTTGTCCTAAAATGGGTCATTAAACATTCTCTGTAACAAAATTACATAATTTTCAGCAATGCATTGTTTTTTTAACATTTAATTTAATTTTCATAAACAAATAAATAATTCAAAAAGCAGCAATTGCAAAAATCAATCCTTAGATGGAACTACTAGTAAAAGACTGTCCAAAAACATTTTAATAACCAAATGATAGCAATGAAATCCAAAGGTAACTGTTGAAGAGGTAAAAGTTGCATGCGCAATTATAATTTGGGATAAACTTTCAAACATATAGTTTAAAAAAAATATTGTAAAAATCAATTCAAAAGATTTTTAAGAAGTATTCATGTCGAAATAAAGTTAAAAGGAAAATGATTTAGAACCTTAAAACCCCTCCCCCTAATCCCCCTAATTTTCTTTTCTGGAAACTGTTTTCTTTTTCTTTTTTTTTTTTTTTTTTTTTTTTTTTTTTTTACTTGAAATGGAAATTCGGGGGATTCGAGTTCCCCCTTTTCGGGGGATGAATCACTGTCCAAGTTAAAATTAGGGATGTAAAAACTTAATGGAATCAAATTAAACCGAACCAATCAGTCAAAAGTGATTAAAATTTCACTTTTCAGTTTCTTTTACGTAAGGTACAAAGTGTCTAAAAATTCACTTTTCAGTTTGTTTAACACAAGGTAAA